ATCCGTAGCCTTACTTATCCTAGGCTCAAAACTTGTCCTAATCTCACGGGAAAGTGGCTCAAAGCTACCCGTATTGCAGTCGTTTTCTATTACCATGTCCTGTTTAGTGGGCCACAAACCTAATATATTCCAAAACACTTTGACGCATGTCCGCCAAATCTCTCAAGACGCACAATCCTCACCAGGCCCTACACTTCGAAGCAGGCGGTTAGCCGGTCCTCCACAGAAATCTCACAATTATTACTACCGGCGGATCGGCAGGAGATGAATGCAGACCCAGTCCACATAAATCTCCGCCAGAAAAGATATAGGGACCCCTGTGGAAAGACGCAACGCCTAATACAAATGGGCTTAAGCGAAATTTCAGGAAAGTACGAACTTCTCTGTCCTAAATTTAACCCCAACACTAACACTTATCATAGGATTGCTCCACAAACAAAACCTTAACCCTGACCCTAATCTCCATGGAAATTCTCACGAGGCCACTTGCGTAAGGTGAGAGACCTATTATCTCGTTGCACGGATTTCGTAAAAGGGGCTACTTTCTACAGCACCTTAAGACAGTTCAGCAATTCGGCTGAAGGCTGTAGCACCCATCAGATGTTGTTGCACCTAGTCGCGGCAGAACTCAGACATACTCATGAGGTATCTAGACATGTTCGCCTCATACACTCCGTCGGGCCTCTCTGTCTGACCTTGGCGTAACTATTTTTCGGCATACCGGGAGGCGCAATGTCCGAAACAACTTTAGCCCAGAATTTGGGCATTGTTTGGCCTGCTTTTAATCAGTTGTAAACCAAAATAGGAGTTCATATACCTGTCGTAGCGAGGACGAATACGCACCCCAAGTTATTCGATCTGCGTACACAATGAATGTGTAAATTTAACGGGCGCTTTACCAAATTACTTTTTCTAGAAACATATTTAAAACCCAGGGGATGGCCTAGAAATTCCATTAAGTGTTAAGCTCCCAGAACCCTTGGATGGATCGTTATTCATACGGTTTCTTTTGTTATTGCTTTCTCAGGTTACTAATTTATAAGGTCGGCATCCTGTGACCTCTGAAAAAATAACAATATTTTACACTGCCTTGGACTTCCTTTTAAAGTCATTACGTTCTGAAATATAATCTGTAATTTCTGACAGAATGAGAGAGAATAAATATCTCTAACTCTTAAGATTGAAAGTTTGTTAGATTAACGCGAAAGACGAAGAAGACACTGATATTTGTAGTTCTACTACTTAAGGACGGCAAGATGAGGAGAGTCCTTAAGGTGGATGGTAATTGTCCTACTCTGTTCTTCGACCCTTGTTCACAATTCAGTGTTCCGTTTATCGTCAGGGCGAAGGTAAATACATAACTCTAGCAAGGTTCAATTTAGCTAACTTGTCCTCCCATTACCACATTAACTTCAGACAACCCACTATTAGGTCGGCATTAGCTTGATCGTGAAACATGCGCTTCAACGCATTGCAATACTTGAAGCGACATGCAGGGTTTAGGAGCTGCACAAAACGTCCTAATTTCCATTTCACGCAGAAAACCTTGGCGCTGCATTACACCTAGGGGACTCTGTCAATGTCATTTTTTCGTCAAACGTGCTGATACGATGAACACTACTGTAAACTTTACATCTCACCATTCCCATTTCACACACAGAGAGTGGAAGATATCGTGTCTGCTCCTACCACCGAGAAAGACGGGGCAGACTGGAATGGCTTATTAGGCATATCAGTCATCCCCAACCCCGACGTGTGGAATGCCTGCGTCTCGAACCCGCGACCTAACCGCTGAGTGAGGGGATCTTTGTCCTGTCAATTACCATCGCGTACATGCGCGAGAGTTCGACCGTCGAGTTGTATAATGTCCATCGTGTGTCCCACAGCAAGTTGTGGGAGCAGGGACGGTGACTTGCACAGGGGATTATAGTGCCAATGGACTTGAGTTGCATCTAACACACTCTCTCCTCCTCCCTTACCTGAACACGGTGTCAAGACAGGGTCAAGAAGACCGGAGGTGAGGGAGGCCGCAGGTTAATGGCTTGGACGTATCCCCACCTTTGCTCTCCCCCTGGTCCACAAAACAAATGACAGGGATTCTGACCGCCAAAACAATGGAGTGCGTGGCAGTGGTCCCAGTTTGTGCGACGGCTGCTGACAACAGGGTCTGTCAGCGCACCCTCTGAATGTTGGTAATTGTTATTGCGCAAAGATAACGACTGCCAGAATCCGATGTGGCCCCCCTGTTGTTCACCCATCTATCACGTGGCCCGTTTGGGGGGGCACGGGTATACACAATGGTAGGAGGGCACTCACCGATCGCGCTACCGAAATCACTGGTCCCATTTGTGCCTTGGGGTTCTCTCTCGAACCACGACAGCCATTGTTATGCCCGTGTGGGAGCAGCTGGTGCGTCTTATCAGTCGGTGAGTGTGTCTCTGCCTTTTTGCAGTACGAACAAGATGACGGTGTTGGGACAGGGTCTGGACGACTGCACACTGCTTTCATTAGCATGGCCAGCTGCTTCAAAGTAACTTCGTCACCAGAATGGAAAGAGGCAGTTAAATCTTGGCCAATCGGACATTCAATAGCGTGAACCGACTGAAATACAATGTAACCCTACCACCAACTCATTTTCAGCAACAGCTCTTGTGCACTGACGAAGACAGTGCATTGAGTACCATAGGCGATTCAGGCAAATTCGCCCTGATGGAATTCGCTACACTCACAGGGAATGGAAGTCGAACGGGTGCTTTTAAATGTCGGTCAGCATGTTGAATGTGCAGTGGCTGTTACTAGGTGAAAGAGAAAACGCGATTGAAACAGCTCACAGGAGGATAATTTCCCTTCATATCTTGCTCCGTATTCAGTCTAGCAGCCTGGATGTCGTCCTATCTTGTTGACGGAATGACAGTCTTGATCGCCCCTGAACTCCCCAGGTAAATTGGTAAAGTTTTTGCATCGATGGAGATTGCTTCTCCTGAGCAGGCCGATGGATTGCGGGAAGAGATCGGTGGGGCTCAGAAACGCAACAATTTATTACTTTGCTACTAGTATTAATTTCAGTAGGTGTGGTAGATTTGTCAGTATTAGAGTTGTGAGTTATGGGCGGCACGGTTATCTGTCGCTGATCCTGTAATGGGCGTTCATTGAAAGAAAAGCAAGATTATCGGTTGAGCTTCACTATTGCAGGCAATATCGTCCGAAAATAATCCTCTTTCCATAGATAATCAGTGGTCGATTGAATCCTTGTGCGTAATAATTAAAATGTCAGCATGATCGAAACCAAACCCTCACTCCCTGAAAATGGGCAAGGTATTTATTTTCTGCGACTTCGCGGTGCATGTGGGAGAAGGACGCGTCGCCCAAAATGGAGCGTTTGTTTGCCAAGAAAGTGACAAAGTGAGTTTCTTCTTTCAAATATTCTCCTGGAACACGATCCTTCCAAAATCCGCCGAAAAGCAACACCTGTTCTCTCCTTCCACTACAATTAACGTCAACCTACATAGTCCCTTTTTCGCGCATTCAAAACCCGGTGGACAGATTGACGTTCTAGATCACTATGACTTGCCTGGGACAATATTAATTTGCGATGTTCTCATTTTTCATTGAAGGCTTGCAAAGCTATGTCATTATGAGGATATCTTCCGTCAGCATTCATGAATAACGCACAAGAAGGAACACCTCTGCTCACATTTCTCATAAGCTATTGCTAAATCTATGAGGACATGAAAAGACAATGGAAAATTATTCGTACTTGGCAGATAATCCTTTTTTAGCGATGCGGAATTTGTCGATGACCGAGAAGATGTGGATTCAACATATAATTATTGTAGAATTATCTTTCGACAATCCATATTAAAACTTCACCTAAGTAATTGCTCTAAACCGAAAACACATTCCGTAACTTTGGTAACCACTTTATGAGATCGGTCACAGACTGCACAAAAATTATCGTCGCATGTTCTAGGCATGCGAGGAATTATATATATGGTACCTTCATTCGACGTCTCAGGTTGCACGGGCAGCATTTCGAAAGCGAGGGCTTGTGGGCTGTCTTGTACTACGTAGCCGCATGTTTGTAGTCCAACTAAATCATCCCGTTGTGATGAAATGAAAATTAGGCCAAAAATCAGGTAAACTAATTTTAAGACTCATTTAATTTCGTTTTATTTCATGGTGAAGGGTTGTCCAAACTGTCTGAAGTACTGAATTACACATCAGTTTATACTTCAAATATTTATTTTCTAGAAATCGTCTCATGAATGTTTTATTAGCAATACAAGGACATTAAGCTTTTAGAATAAGAGGAGACTAAAAAGCAACATTTAAATATGAAGCAAGAATGATCGTTGACATCTTCGATCTGGAAAAAGTGCCTCTTTACAGTTTGCCAATAGAATATAAGAGGCGTGTTCCAGAAAGCTGGAACGAGCAAGGCCATCCTTCACTACTATCATCTTCATCCAATAGACTGTCTTAAACATTCAACAAACTACTTACGAGCCACTATATGCTCCTATCAACGTGCCTAATGGAGTTTATATCACAATCCATCTTTTTGATTGCTTGGATGTCAAATTCGCATCATCCCTTCATAGATAAAGGGTAGAAGCAGATGAATTCAGCCGCAAAATTTCTTTTCTATTAAATCTATGAGGGCATTAAATAGGAAATGAAAGACTATTTAAAATGTCATATTTCATCTTGCAGTCAGAACAACTTAGCAAAATCAACTCCTGTATTATTCGTAGTCCAAGAATAGTTCCCAACCTCTCCCGCGAAATCAAATTAAGGGCTGTTTTCCTCGATGACAGCCGAAAAAGAAGCACACAGTTCTGAAAAATATGTGTAATTAAAAAATATAGGTATTTTATTACTAAATACTCCAATATGATTGGAGCGTCAGTCAGATATTTTGGATCTGTATATAATGCACTGTCCCGAGTTGTTGGTGGGAATTTCGAATTCGCAGATTGGGTTGTTCCGATAGTTTTGAACTAAGATTTGCGTTGAGCAACAAAACTTGAGAACGATACGTTCTTAAAAAGAGAAGAAGTATTATAGTTTATATGATTTCGAGCCTTTTAAAAATGCATCACTCTACCGAGAAACGGCATTCACACAAGGACAAGTAAATGTCGGTTATCTTTTGAAAGAAATAAGCCCACATAGGGCTTCATTTGGCCCACTCACCTTTAATTGGGAATCATTTTCTTCGTCTTTCTTTGTCGGTCTATCAGAAATTGTGAACCAGGTCAGAATTATGGACCAGATTATGCCGACAGAGCCAATGATAATAAGTACCGTTCCCACAGCGAACTTCCTAAAAAGTGAAGATGATTTTTTATGTTTACATTGCTAGAATGGCATTTCGCAATCAGGTTATTTTATCCTCCTGTGAAAATATGGTAGAAGGATTACCATGAAGAACAACAGGATGGAATTTGACGTACAAGGCTTTACGAAAGTTCTGGTCTAAATCGTCATTCACAGAATGAGTCGCGCTTTTGGCGGAGACAGAAATGATGAATGGTGGAGGATATTTTACGACCAGCACAATCCCAGCAACCAAGGCTACCAGTCCCAGTCCCAGACAGATTGTCAGGCCGAATTTGTACGAGACCTTGACCGACGTGGTCCACGCCATTGCTTGCTGTTACGAATGATTTAGGATAAAGGGAAATGAGTCAGTCAGATGCGTCATTTCCCGATTAAATAATCGTTGTTTTTTTGGTAAATCGAAAAAAGATCATTGCTCATGGTGAAGGTATAAAACATAAGCTTTTGATGCAGGAAAATATTATTGAAAATTATTTTTTATTGACTTTATGAATTTAACGCACAGTTGCTACGCGGAGTCCCATCAGCCGCATCAAAACCCAATCGAATAATTGATGCATTGCTTGCTTTTTGTTAAAATAAAATCGGCGACTGTTTCTGCCAAAATCGGTAAAAGTGAGCTACTGATGCATAGAAATATTATCGAAAAATTATTCCATATTACGTTTCTAATTTTTGCATAGCGTTTTGCTAACTAGGGATCTCGGATTAAACAAGGTCTGTCAGTCAGCTACGCTCAAAAATAATTAACTACTTAGCATGCGATGTTATTTTTGCTAGACCAAAATTGACCACTTTGTGCGACAAATCGTGAAAACTAATCTATCGTCCAAGGAATTATTACTACAAAATTATTTCTTTCTAGGTTCGCAATGTTGGCATAACGTGCGTCAGCGAAAAGCAAATTTGCATCAACAGTTTTCTCGAAAAAGTAGATTTTTAGAATCACATATTGGCTTTTAAAATCATTATGGCTGTAGTGATGCGCAATTAACGGAAATGGGCGCAAAGGGGTGTTCAAAGTTCAGCGTTCACATCTTTCGACTTACAAAAATTTCAAACAGTAAGACAAGGAGCATTGACGATAAACAGCAGCATTTCTGCATTTTTGCGTTTTCTTTTGCATGCCATCTCCTATGGAGGTGCCGTCTATATTTGGTCTTTGCAAAATAAAATGGTCACCAACGCGCGAAGGTTTGCCGATATATAGTAAGTTTATCTGCCTGCTGGGCCTCGATCCACCTACGTTTTATGAACTATTTGTGCAACAACATTGAAATATCATTTAATTTTTCTTCACACGAAATTTTGAAAAAAATAATTTGGAAATTATCACTTAGTTAGTCTCGTAGTCGTATATTTTCCAATTGAGTGTATTTTTTAAAATATTTTAAAATCATCTTTCTTATCCTTATTACCACCTTCATGCTAACCACAAAGTACAAAATCGTGTATTTTGGTCGCGAGTCTTCTGCGCATTGGAAGGGTGTCTCAGATGGAAATAAATGAATTCGATAAGTTTTTGAAACTTAGATGGTGCGCAGTTGTGAAGACAGAAAAGATGTGGACGCACTTATCTGCTGTAGAGCTCCATACTTACAAGCTAAAAGCTTGTGTTAATAAAAGCCAGCATAAAACTTTTCCATGCATGCCTCCTAAAGATCAGGATTAAGTCCGTGCTCCTTAACCGAATTAATATTTATACGTCAGGCTAGGTTCAATCAGAGATGGCGTGCAACTTCATGTCTTTAATGGCTTTTTGGTTAAGGTTCTTTTGTAGGCTTCGCTGCGCTTAATCTTAATCAAATGTAAAACATGGAACAAGTAATAATATAAAAGTTACTGGCAAGCAGAAGTTGTAGATTTAACTGTTTTAATTTTTCAAAGGCCCTGCTAGTCACGTTGTGAAATATGTCTGCTGCTTATGCATACCTGAATGAAAATATTTGAGAATGAGAGAAATGAGCTATGACGTTTTACGCAAGCGTTTTTAACTGCTCAGGATGATCAGGCAGTTCAAGAGATGAAAGGTCAACCAATCAGATTTTCTGAAGGCCATGGCATATTGATGCACTGTAATGCGACTAATTGCTCTCACTCAAGCAAGCGCTTAGTGTCACTTTCCGGTTGACGTCGAGTTATTACCCCAGTTTTGGCTATTTACCAATGCCTTGTTTTATTCTTGTATTAACTGAAACATACTTTTCTGTTGCATTGACGCCGTTAAGGGATAAGGGTAACGAATACTAATGATATCTCCTCCGGTTGGCGATCTTAACATTGTCTCTTCTACGGGAATTTGAAAATGCGTTTTCAGAAGTCAATCTCTCTTCAACGTTTTTAATTGTAATGCAGCGGGCTGTTAATGGGGAATTTAGGATTAAGGAAACTATCTCAGTTAGCTGGCACAAAGGGCTAGAAAAAATTGTTCAACAGATAGTATCGAGGAGGAACTTAGAAAAATCCAGGACTTGCTTCGCCAAAATGGGTACCCTGACAGGTTCATTGCAAAGAACCTTGCCGAACGACCCGCAAAACCCACCACACTAACCGCCGAAAAGAAAACGTTGTTCCTCAAAGTCTCCTTCCAAGGAGACGCTGCAGGTGAACTCCTAAGAAGACGCCTTGACCAAGCTGTCTCGGGAACCTTCCCAGCAGCAGGGGTTCGCACATCATTCTCTACTAACCCTATTCTACGCGGAGAAGGCAAGGATAGGCTGCCACCTCAGACCGTCTCAATGTGCATCTATTCATTCACTTGCTCCTGTGGAGCAGATTATATTGGTTGTACGAGTCGGCGCCTTTCCAAAAGAATACGAGAGCACCTTCCCGCATGTTTGGCAAAGGGTGAAACTAGGAAAATAGACAGCGCCATCCTTGCGCATGCAGTGGACTCAGAGCATCGTGTGGACCCCGCTGAAGCATTTCGTGTGATTTACAAGGTCCTCTCGAGCTACTTAAGCTATTGGGCCTGTTAACAATAGCAGAAGCGGCCGCCATAAGGTTACGAAAACCGACCCTATGCGACCAAAAGAACCTTGTTCAGGCTCCGCGCTTACCGTGATCAAAGGTTGACTAACCACATACAACTTTCGGCGCCCTTCCGCTCTTGCCGAGCCTGTAATTTAAAACCTAACTTTTTATCGATTTTTGTTTCACTCACTGTACCCCGCCCTATGTAACTGTATTGGCCTGATGAGAATTTACTGAAAGGAACGTTCACTCGCCACTGTCTCTTCTAAACATAGAAATGGGGATTTTTACAACTTTAAAATTGAGTTATGTTTAATAGATCAAAGTGGGTCACTTTTTATTGCATAATCGTGAAAAGTAAGCTACAGGCGCATGCAAATATAACTGCAAAATTAATTGTATTATGTTAGTAAGTTTATTATAAAGCGAATTAGCGGAAATCAAATTTATAGGACCAGTTTTGCTCAGGAAAGTGGATTTTAGAATCGGACATTGATCCCAAAAACCACTATGTTTGTAGTAACATCCAATTAAAGAAAATCGGTGGAAGTGGAGTCCAAAATTTGCATCTTTCGATTTGCAAACGTTTGCAGGTACTAAGACAAGGAACATTGAATGACACAGACAGACCCCAGCACTTTTGCATTTTTTAGGTGTTTTTGCATATCTTCTTCTTCTCTGGAGGGGCTGTATCCATTTAATCTAAATAAAATGTAAAGGCGGAGGTTTCCTGACTTATCGCACAGGCTGTCATTCTGTTAGATGTCAATCCATTAAAGGTCTATAAATTTTTTGTGGAACAATGACGGAGTATCATTAGATTCTCCTTTACATGTGACTTAGAAGTAATTAATAAAAGATAACGGGTTGGTTGGTCGCGTAGTCGTATATTTCCCATGCAAGTATAGTTCTTTATAAATCACTGTAGATCAAATTTCTACCTACTGCTAGTATTAAAATGCTCTTTGTCAGATCGTTTAAGATGTCTTCCAAGGTATAAGGCAAAAAACTGCATATTCTCTCTGAATGCGTTTTGGGTCTTGGGTGGAGGTTTCAGATAAAAATAATAAATACGAGGAGTTTTGAAAAACGAATGGTGCGCAGTTCAAAAGTCATAAAACAAGTGAAAGAGCATATATTTCATAAAACCCTGCACGATGTAGGAAATATTATCCGGAGATAAAAGCCGGCTTTGATGAAAACCACCGCAAAAGCTTAAGGGACAATTTCTCGCAAACGTGAATGTGTGACTGCTATTACAATGTGGTGTGACTGTTAATGAAAGCCTTCTACCATTAACGTTCTTATTATTAAGTAGTTGCCCACTTTTAAAAGATGATATAAATTTGCGTCTGCATAGGTCAATCTCTCTTTACTTTCGTTATTTTTAGATATACAATTAGATAATTTTTGACAAGCGGAAACTATACATTAAATAAATATAGCAGAAAAGCTCTAGGGCAACGTTGATTGGGACGTAGTTTTAGAGTTTATATAAGCCTACGTCCATTATAGTCTTCTTCACCAAATCAAAAAACTACCTGACAACCGTTTTCCTCGACACGTTCATCTATATCTCAAACTACAACATGGCGTTTGGTGAGCTGAATTTCAATTTATGAACAAAATGTCCATAATCTAAACGAAATGCAACAAGGTAATTAAGGAATTAATTTTCTGGCATTTAAATTCAATTTACATCACTGAGATAAAATTTATTTCTCCAAAATATTATACATTATGCCTTTGGTTTACGTACGCATCAACAGCTAAAAGTCGAAATCTACCCAAATAATGGAAGATTTTTTTGTAAGTACCAGTGAAGGCTTTCCACTGCATAACCAGTCATAGATCACTTAACCAATTAGGGTTCATTTTATATTTGTTGGGTAGGACGTCTGGGGGTCCATAATATCTGGCGAGGCATTAAGAATCATTGCTGACGACTACCCTCAAATTTAATCTATGAACCTGGCCTGCCATTGACTCCGCAGTGCGATGGAAGAACAGATGTAGCGTAAAGGATTAACCCCTCCCATTCCTTTCGCGTTTTAGAAGTGAGACAATCAAATTCTTGGTTTTGCTCTATTTTGTATTAAGGGAACGGAATGACGAAATGATGTTTTCGAACTTCGCGGCAACAATAACTATTTAATGGAGATATGTTTGGCGAACATGCCTTTTCCACCATTGTTTCTCAGGCCTTTGCAGTAAAATGAATCAGGATTAAACAGAGAAAACTGAAAAGCAACTGTTGTATTCAGTTGATGAATGTTTGAGATTCTTCACGTCCCCTTTGCAAGTATTCCCATTCTTCCACTCTAACCCTATTTCGTGCATGATTCGTGTTCTTTTAATTAACTGGTTTCATCAGTTGACCTTGAGCCGGAAATTCGGTTTGTTCAAACAAGAAAATTCTTTGGCTAGGATATCCATTGTTGAGTACTAAAGAATTCTTAATGAGCCAGAGCGACTCGTATATAGGCTGAAATCTGCTTTGATTTATATGCTTCGCTTGGATTAACAAATAATTCTGCAGCAACCAATGAACAGTAGTTGTCGAGGGGGAAGATTAAGCGCGTTTTGACATATCAGCCATCAGGGAAGAATTAGAATCTAGTTCTGTCAAGGACCTAGTGAGGGGATAGGAACAGGGGTAAGGGATTCTAAATGTGGCAGTGCTAAGGTTTTGCCGTTGTAGCGCCACGTGCCAGGGGGCAGGAACGAACGCGGCGAGCTCAATTTTTGCCTGAGCATGAATATTCGAAAGCCGCACCTTTTTTACATTTGAAGTTTTCAGTTGATCACGATTTTTATTAATTAACTGATTGATTCTATGTGGCGAGTGGAGGGTAGTCGGTCCATCATATCGGAAGGTTGCGTTCTTCGAATTTCCGGTTATCTCATTTAAGTGATTAAAAGGTTGACTCTGCAAAGGAAGGACACAGTGGTCAATCTGTTGTAGATTCGCGTGCATCCAATCTCTGCAGCAAACGACTAGCAGGCTCAGTGTGGTAACATCGATTTGAAGGACTCTGTCTCCGCGCTCCTTTGGCACATTCCTCACTAAGAATAATCCAACGCTGTTTTAAACTAACGCGACGCA